TCCCCCCCAAACTTAACTCCCAACCAATGTGGGACTTTGGCATTTTGCCAAACTTCAACAGAGATTACTTCATCCATTTATGCCGTTTGTCACCGAAGAATTATGGCAGCGGCTTCCTGCTAGAGGGAATTCTATAAATAAAGAATCTATAGTGATAAGTGATTATCCTTCAACTATAAAGGTATGATTTAAGCACAAATTTTAAAAACCAGAATATTAGATATATTACCTCCATTGGTGTATGTTAAAGTGTAGTTTTTTTTGGGCACATGCCCATGTTGTCCAGCCAAAGGCACAATGGCCTAATCCTATTCTCTTTTGGTTTCCATTCCTATTTGGAATTGGATTCGGTTTATTCCTATTTTGAGTGGGTTTTGGCTTTAAGAGAAAGCACCACTCATGATCTATAAATAAGACAACCTTGGAGAATTATTCTATGCTCATTGATACAAGTCTTTGAAAGACTTAAGCACATAAGAGTGGTTTTTGAGAGAGCTTTCGTCAAGAGAGAAGAGAGAAGAAAAATATTTGTTTTGCTGCAGATTTTTATTCCGACCAACCAACTTCAAATCACGTTTTCCAATTCTTTAACCGTTTGATCGGGCTGAAAGTTTGACTGAGTGTTTGTAACATCTTTGTCTTGGATTTGAAGAGTGCAGATCGGATTTGGAGTCTCGTAGTATCTTATTTCGAGCCTCGAACAGCAGCTTCGTTTTTGTGGATTATACTCTTTCTTCAATTGATTAGTTGTTGCTCTTGTTGCTATTGTTGTTCCGTGTTTGGCACTTGTTGTGTAGCAAATTTGGAGAACTTTTGTAACCCTCTTATTGTTATAGTGGAACTTTTTGGATCTTTGTGATCCCGTGGTTTTTACCTTCGAGAAGGGTTTTCCACGTTAAAATTTGGTGTTCTTTATCTTCTTTATTTTCGGGTTTGCCTCTTCCTCGACATAACAATTTTTCCCCCTTCTTTTCCTCTATCTTTTTGCCATTGGTTTTAGTGTCATGGTCTAGAGTCTTAATGATTATGGTCTAGAGTCTTAATGATTACTCTGAGCTGTATGGGATCTATTTTCGAAAAATCTATATATCGGATCACCCATGTATGTTGTTAAACTTCTCGTCAAGTATGTGTGAAAAGAAACTAATGTACGCAATTTGTTTTTCAAGAATATGTATTTGGAATATGTTAGCTTGCTTGAGGGTCTGAAAAAGGTAGATTATCAAGATGAGTCTAGTAGTGGAAAACATGACTTAATATAATGCTCCATGCTAGCTGCTACATGATTATTATGTTGTTTAATGTCCATGTTTTTTGACGTCTGTTCATTTTTTCAGAGCTGGAATAATGATAGTGTGGAAGCTGAGATGGAAAAGGTTTCATCAATTGTTAAAGGACTGAGGTCAAAGAGGACATTGTTGCCTCCAAAGGAGAGATTTGCAAGGTAATCTTCTGTGAACTTAATCTTTTCATATAAAGAACATTTCAAGTGACATTTTTTGGTTCTTTTGGTATCTGTTCGAGGGAAAAGTTATATGGTAAGACAACTTAAAAGCAAATTTGTTCTATATGGAAAGAGTTAAAAGTAGTCAAAGTTTGGGTGGGAGTATATTAAAAATAAAGAAGTTTCAAGTGCCTTTTCATTAAATAATCGACAATCAATGAATTAGTTAATTTTTCATTCCTAATGCAATCTCTTATCTTGGTTGTTCATAATATCAATCTTCCTTGCCCATCTTTAGAAGATTGGAATTTGCTATTTCAGCTTTCATACAGCTGCAGTTGATATTACTGTTGAGTTGTAATTTCTTTAGGGACCTATGCTAAAGGTCCACAAGATAAATAATGTATGATACTTTAACGAAGGATACCAGCATGCTATGATCTGCTTGCTTATGTGTTTGTGAATCATTCAAAAAGTTTTAATACATACAAGTGACTGCGAGAGATTGATGTGTTATGCTCTCTTTTTATGGCTTGATGTGATAGTCAAGGAAAAAAGCTTTTCATAAAGACAATAACGACTTTTAACTTTCCAAACTAACGATGGAATCTTGCTATCCTCAGGCTAGAAGCGTTTGTGCTTTGCCGGACAACTGATACCGTGGAGACCATAAATAAACGCAAAATGGAGATTTGTACTCTAGCTACATTGTCATCTTTGAAGGTATCTCTTTCTCTGTCTTGTTTGTTTGTTTTTTATCCGAAACGTCTTCATCTCCTCCTTGTGGTATCTTTGCGGTTTGTGAAAGAAGAGAAAAGTCGTATTGGTATTGTTGCTTATTTATGGTCTGATTTGAGAAGGATGGTTTATAATTTTGTTTTAATTGATCATCGGTATCACCGGGAAAATAAATCCAACCAATGCATGTGGTTTGTGAGTTTCCGCAACTGCGCTGTAAAAACTAGTTTTGTCGTTTTGCAATTGCATAAAAAACATGTCATTCATCCTTGCCTTCCCTATTATTTTATGATAAAGCAAATGATTTTATTAATAATGGAAAAATTTCCCATCTACACAAGTATACTAATAAGTAGAGAATCTACATGCTTATTTCGTTGATACCTTTCCTCTCCCACATAGTATGAAGCTGGAAATAGCAGAAAAGACCATGTGATGGCATATGCATTGGTTTTCAATTATATTTTCTCATTTTTCTTACCGCCTAGCTACTTTTCTTGCATTAATTTTCATCAGGTCTCAAGTGACAGTGATGCAACTCCAACTCGGTGGCTGACAAAAATAGTGGATGATTCTGTTACAGTTTTTCTAGAGGAAAAAGGGACTACTAGTAACTCAGAGACTGAAGTTGAAAGGCTTGAAAAGAAGAGAGAAGAGACGAGGAAGTAAGTGAAATTTCATAGAGTATTATTGTTTGTTTGCAAAATTGTTTTTCTAACTAGTAGAATAAGTGCCTCTGAATTTCTCCCCGGAGCTAAACAATCTGTATTTTCTGTCAAACAGAAGCAAACAAGACGCTTTTCCGTTTAAAGAAAAAATTTAGTATATATAGCTTTTTAGCTTGCAAAAACAGGTTAGGAAAGATGCTGAAGATATTGTGTAAAAGATCAATTTAGGTTTTCACTAGATGTTAATATACAACTGGCATGTTATTCCTTTGATTAATCCGAAATCATGTTCCTCCTTTCCCCCCTGTGTTCTGCAAGTGAGTGCTTTCATCCCAAGGTATTTGTACCAACTTCTGTTCAATTAGTGCTTCCGTTTGAAGAATAGTGCAGAATGACATTTGGCTTTTGTTCACTCGGCTGTCTTCATTCAAAAGTGGACTCAAGTGGATATTGTGAAATTTGAGTCAGTTTATATTGTGAAGTTCACAAGCAGTTCAATTTGCCATGTACAATGTACTAAATCTTTCTTCTTTTGCGGGCAATGTGAGAACTTAAGCAAAATCATGAGTGCCTCTGGCTACAAAGAGAAAGTTCCGCCTAACATCCATGAAGACAATACAGTGAAACTTAGTGTCCTAAAGCAAGAAATGAAATCAATTGAAGAAAATATTGAGCATCCCATGTTAAATTGAGTCGCAAAATATTCAGTCTCATATTTGTGATATACCAAAGTGGTTTTTGTAACTTTTCTTTTCCAACACTTATAATATTTTTGTAACGTTATTGAAGTTGGTATAGATGGGCTATTTCCTACTAAAATTCTCTTGTAAATAATATTTTACCAATTAAGCAACAACTTTTGATCATCAGACTTGCTGTAGATCTCCTTAAAAATGTAAATTAAAAGATTAAAGTTGAATTATAGTTAAACTTTTGACTTATTTAATTTCAACATTATATGATATTATTAACATTTCTGCCCTCAATTCAAAATTGCTGAAGATATTGATAAATGCGGACATATTGCCTTATGAAGGAGATGAAAGACGCTTGAGGAGTTGCTATTGCAATCAAGTTTTTTCTTTTGTGGGTTAATATATATCTGAAAAGGAATAGTACTTAAACTGATATAAAAAAGATAGCTGAAAAATGAGTAGTAGAAACCGTTAAAGCTGATAACAAACAATTTGATCATATTTTTATTTCCTTCACTTTTTACAGAGTAAACATTTGAGGATAGTAGACCAAATTGAGTTAGTAGAATTTAGAGGCTAATGTCTTTAAAATTCCCATTTCCCTGAAATTTAGAAATGTTTTAAGTTGTGATCAACTAATATCCTTTAATTAATAAGAGTGACACATCAATCTTAACTAATATCCACAGGTCCAAGTTGGATGGAAAATGGAAATTACCAAGATCAACTGCATATCCACAGCCAAGCAGCCAACATGAACACAAGTACACAACCAATTGAAACTATTGATATTAACTATGCTTAAGTAAACTTGCATTCCATCCTTCGCCAAATAACATTGTATTTTACTAAATAAAAGTATACTTTATCCAATAGTTTAATATGCTTTTAAATAAGATGGTTACACACTTCAACAAAATATATTTTTATATGATTATTTTTAAAATTTTATTAAAATCCATGGCAGTAGCTCACATGAATTCGGCTATATTACTGCTATACTCTAAAAAGGAAGTGCTTTGTACCGAGATGAAAAGTCCCAGTTCCACTCATGCATGTATTGCACTAGTGGCCGGCAAGTAATGTTTTTGCTGGGCTAAGCCAACCCAAATACATTATTTACATATATAGTGTTATACTGTTCGTTTTGGTCCAAGCCTAAATAGTTTTCTCTCAAAAGCCTCACGTTTTTAAGAGATTGTTTGGTTTGAAGACAAGTTATACATGGATTAATAATACAAAGATTAGTAATGCAAGAATTAATAATTTGGAGATTAATAGTACATGGATCATTTCTTGTTTGGTCGTTTAGTTCATTGCACTAAAATTGAGTATACAAAGTATCATCTAAATTATTTGTCTGCCTTTTAAACTAAAAAATAATGAATTTACAATTATACCCTAGGATATTTAGTCTTCATAGGCTTCTTGGAAAAAGATAAAAAGATAATTTTATCCTTATGGCGCTTTTTCTATATAGTAGGTTACTTGTGTCATTTTTCAGATTGGTATCATTTTTGTGAATTACCTGTAATTATTATTAAGTAGACTTAATAGTGTGAAAATTCTTCATTGGATAGAAGTTAAACTCAATACGGATAGACATCTATTAGCCCAAAGAGTGGATGTGCAACGTTGAATATCCTTTTGTACAAAAAACTATTTTACTTATTTTATTTGCCCTCGTGTACAACTGAATAACCAGTAAAACACATAATTGTTGGTTTTATTTTCTTTTCTATTTTTCCCTTGATGCATCTTATCATCCATTTGCTTCCAAAATCTTTTATATTGTGAACCTGGCTCGTATCATACGCCATGTGAATGCTAGAGAATGACCATTCATCAAGTAGTCATACAGATTCTCTGCCCTCTCAAAATAAAATTTTGTTCAGCTATGAAAAATGATGTATGGAACCTAATCAACTTTCATAAATATTTATGCTTTATTGGCATATACAACAAAGATTTCCAGCAGATTCGGAAAAAAAAAAAAAAAAGAGGTAAAGTGAAGCTGATAACTGATTAGGTTGTACAAATTCAATATCACAAGTTAAGATACTAATAGCATATTTGACCAAGCTTTTAAAATCAGCTTATTTTGAGAAGTATTTTTCTCAAAAGCACTTTTTAAAAAAGTATTTTTGGTGAGAAACAGTTTGTATTTGAGTAATTAATTTGAAAAACACTTTTGAGCAATAATTAGTGTTTGGCCAAACTTTTGAAAACTGCTTCTATGTGTATTTTTCTCAAAAGTGCTTCTCAGAAAAGTGGTTTTGGAGAGAAACTACTTTTTTCTGCTTCTCAAAAAATGTTTTTGCTTCTTTTCAAAAGTACTTTTTTCCTTCCAAAAACTTTAATTTTTGGCCGAAAGAAAAAATACTTTTGGCCCCAAAAAAACTATAGGTATAAGAATTAGCAAGTGAAGCCATCACTGAACTTTAAGACACAAAAAGTAAAAAAGGTAAAGTACAATATGCATGGGATGAAAGGACAAAAATGGTAAAGTACAATATGCATGGTAAAGTACTTTTTTCTGATATATTCTCAAACTTTAATATTACCCATATTTGTAGCCAGATTCAATAGTGTCACCCCCTATCCCACTGCAAACCCCACTTTCACATTTGTCATGGAAATTCTTTTATGTGGGTTTTGCTTCTCTTGAAAATACAATATAAATAGGACTGTTGTAGCCAGATTTAAAAAAACAAGTAGATTAGTAGTTATCAGGGTGTTCCCTAGAGTTCCCTTGACCGCTTCATGAGGGATTACTTCTCCATAACTTATTGTTTAAAGCCCTGCTGAAGTGTTTGGGGGAACTCCAGGATTCACTTTGAAAGGATTTAATTTATATATTATGATAGCGTAAAGAACTTTTACAATATAGCAAGGAAAAGTTGGTTGATAAAGTAAACAGGTTGTTCCCTAGAGTTCTCCTGACCAATTCACGAGGACTTAATTACTTCTCCATAAGTTGTTGTTCGAAGCCCATCTGAAGTGTTTGGAGGAACTCACAGGTACACTTTGAAAAGAGCTAATTTACATATTCTGATAGTGTAAAGATTTTTTACACTACTATCAGTGTCTTTTAATCTATTGTGACAAATAATATATATTTTATTTTCAATTTCTTCTTAGTGACTTCGAACTAGTTGTATCAAACAATATGCTTTATTTTTCAAGTTACTAAACTTACTACGAATTATTTAATTTTTGGAGAAGCTAATGGTGTAAGGATTTGTTTAGACTATCACGAAACATATAGAACTGTAGTAGTATGAGTCATCGTGCATCTTGTTAAACCCAACTCCAAGTCTCAAATCATGATTTTCACTAAATTCTGACAATGTAATTGTTACACAAAATTAATTAGTCGCTCTTTGTTCTTTATAGCTTATCTTGATCATGATACTTCACATTTAAGCAGGTAAAGTTATCACTAAGAGGTGTGATAGAATGAATAAGATCTTTACATCCTTAGCTTATTTTGTGTAGTGAGAGCTCCCCTTTAGATAGGCTTTATGCGGCGCCATGATACGCATCGGAAGATAAAAGCAATCATAGGCAGAAATTTTCGTATTTAAAATTTATTTACATATCAAAGATCGGATCTAAGACGTACCTTGTGAAGAGAGTCTCATTTTTAAATTTTTCGATAGTGCGAAGACTCTATGTGTATCCACACCGACACTGGTCCTTGCTATCAATTCCTTGATCAATGAAACCCCGTGAACAAATTGAAAGAAAATATTGGGTTGAAATTTTTCTCAAAAATCTCAACTCAAAGGTAGAAGAACAAGAAACAATTTTCTTGTACTAGTATTTTCTATCTTGGTTTATATTGCATTATTACTTTCTCAACGTAATTTTTCCTCTCAAGAATAACTCTCTTGGTTTCTTTACAATATGTATAAGATCTATGTCTCACTAATTCTTAATTAGGACTCACACACACACACACACACACACACACATATATATATATATACATAATTTCCATTGGAAAATACAAATCACATATCTTATGGTAAATATTTAAAAGAACATGTAACTTATGGAATTCAATTCTAAATTGAATTCTACAACTTAGTCACCATTTTAAAATAAAAACATGTAACTCATTTATGGAATTCAATTCTAAATTGAATTCTATAACTTAGTTAATATTTGAAAATAAAAACATGCAACACATTTATAGACTTCAATTCTAAATTGAATTCTTTTATTAATATTTTCTTATTGAAAAATTATCTCCCATATTAAATGGGTTGAAAATTGTGGACAACACCATAAGGACTTTCCATGTTAATTAATCCAATTCAAAATTGGATTTACTAACAAGACTTNTGAAGTATACAATTTACTCTCAAGAACCTGTAGAAGAATAATGTATTAATTCCTTCTGTCATTATAGCTCTGGGTCACCCTAGGATATGGTTCAACTGTCAAATCCTAATAAGCGACTGTCACACCTCCTTTTTCTGCCCCCGCGAGGGTGCAGGGAGTTTTCTCCAATTAAAGGACAGTCGAAACGGGATTTGTTTGT